TCCCTAGCCTCAGCCTGCCTATCTGTGGAATGATGCCCAGGCACACTGCTGTTCCTTAAACTAGTTCAGGTGGCTGAGGGCCAGGTGGTCTGCTCTGCTGGGCAATACCAAACAGGGATCTATTAAAACTGGGCTAAGATTGGTTGCACCACACTCTAGTGCAAGCAACCATCTGTTCAAATCCAAAAAGGAGGAATTCTCAAAACGGAGACTGTTCAGTCCATTCACAGGTTTGCTTTTGTTCTGTTTTGTTTTGTTTTACTGAGGGGCATGCAGCCTGTCTGTGATACCTCAGAGACCTCCCTGGGAACCTTCAGTCATCCTTCAGCAGACAGCCGCTTCTTGATTGAGCATCTGATCTGTCCCAGGCCCTGTTTGCATGCTGAGGATTCAGCAATGAACAAGGCATCTGAAGCCTCTTGCTCTCAGGAAGCTTTTTTTTTTTTTTCCTTTTTTGGGGACAGAGTCTCACTCTTGTTACCTAGCCTTGGCCTACCACACAGCAACCTCAGACTCCTGGGGTGAAACATTTCTCCTTCCTCAGCCTCCCATATGGCTTGGACTATAGGCACACACCACCATTCCTTGCTATTTTTTCTATTTTTCTAAAGATGGGGCCTTGCTTTCCTCAGGTGGTCTTGAACTACTAAGCTCAAGTGATCTTCCCACATCTGCCTCCCAGAATGATAGGCTTGAGCCACCATGCCTGGCCCCATGAAACTTATTTTTAGTGGAGAAAACACAAATAATGGCAAGTTGAAGTAGAGGCTGGAATAGAAGGAGCTAGAATAGAGATTAAGAGCTACTTTAGATGGAGCAGTCAGGAAAAGGGCCTTTGAGAAGGTAATGTTGAAACTGAAGTCAAAAGAACAAGGAGTTAACTTTGGGGAAAAGTTAGGCAGAGACGTAGAGCAGTAGGTGCCAAGACCTTGAAAAGGATAAGCTCTGGATGTGTCAAGGAGCTGAAAGAAAGTCAGTAGTATCAAACCCAGGAAAGAGGCCCAAGATAAAGTGGGAAGGTGGGGGTGGACTCAAGTGTGCAGGACCTGTGGGCTGTGTTGAGGAATGGAGGCTTTTAGTTGAGCCATTGAAGGGTTTTATGCACAAGCTTAACATTTACTGATTTATTGCTGTGTGAAGAGCACATTGTGTGTAGGTGTCAGACAGAAATAAAAGCAGGGAACCAATTAGGCTGTTGCCACAGTCCAGACACAGATGATGGTGGTAGTCATGAGCGTGGCTGCCCACCTGTAATCCTAGCACTCTGGGAGGCCAAGGCAGAGGAGTTCAAGACCAGCCTGAGCAAGAGCAAGACCCCCATCTCTAAAAATAGCCGGGCATTGTGGCAAGCATCTGTAGCCCCAGCTACTCAGGAGACTGAGGCAAGAGGATGGCTTGAGCTCAAGAGTTTGAGGTTGCTGTGACCTGTGATGCCATGGCACTCTACCGAGGGCAACAAAAGTGAAATTATCTCAAAAAAAAAAAAAAAGTGGTAGCCATGCTAAAATAAGTAGTTGAGAGATGCTATTTTGGTTTTGACATGGACTTAATAAGGCACATGGATAGAATGGACATGAGGGGAGGAAATGGAGAAACCAAAGACAACTCTTAAGTTTCTGGCTAGAAAAAATGGGTGGACAGTGCCTCATTTGTTGGATATAAAGGGACCACATCTCAGGAGGGAATATCAAGATCTCTGTTCTAGCTATGTTGAGTTTGAGAAGCCTATTATAGATCCAGGGAGATCTAGCTAGGACTCTAGAAGAGAGGCCTGAGCTGAAAGGTGGGGAGCAGGTTGGAAGGCATCAGTTTAGAGATATTAAAGTCCATGGGATCTGAGAAGGACAGGGGATGAAAGAGTCAATACAGATGCAGAGATAGTTTAGGAGGGACCCAGGGGTATCAGAACAGGAGGCAGAGCAGGCAAGAGGACAGAAAGAAGTTGGGCAAAAAGCTGGGCGGGCAGGCAGAGAATCTGGAGAGTGCTTTATCTCAGAGACTGAAAAAGTAGTTTCCAGAAAGGAATTGTCAACTGTTATTAGATGCTGCTTAGAGATCAGGTAAGATAAGGACAGAGAAAGGCCCGTTGGCTCTGACAACATGAAGGTCACCTTCATGAAGGTCATCCACTGTTATTAGAATGGTGGAAGCACAGCCTGTGTAACAGAAAAAAGAGAACTGGGAGGGATCTAGAAAGGGGTGTGGAAGCATAGGACACTTTGGTAGAGATGGCAAAATGGCCATGCTCCCTTTTCCCTTGATGGCATTTCTGATTCTGCCAACCACATGGTTTCCCAGAATAAAGGCAAGTTTTTCCCAGCCTCCTCTTTTTTTTTATTATGTCTTTTTTTTTTTAACTTTTTTTTTTTTAACATTTTAATACTTTGTTGTTGTAGTTTTGGCCGGGGCCAGGTTTGAATCCACCACCCTCGGTATATGGGGCTGGCACCCTACTAACTGAGCCACAGGTGCTGCCCCCCAGCCTCCTCTTGGAATGACTGTATGGTCATGTGACTTCATTCCACTGGTTAGGAAGTAAGTGAAGGTCTGAACTGTCTTTAAAAGGAAGTAATGTAGCTTGGTGCCTGTGGCTCAAATGGCTAAGGAGCCAGCCACATACACCTAAGGTGGCGGGTTCGAATCCAGCCTGGGCCTGCCAAATGACAATGATGGCTGCAACCAAAAAAAATAGCCAGGTGTTGTGGCGGGCGCCTGTGGTCCCATCTACTTGGGAGGTGGAG